ACAGAACAGGAGGGATGGGGAGTTTGTAGAGAAGGGCCAGCACAGAGCGACAAGGATGGTGAAGGGCCGGGAGCAGCCATTGTGTGAGGAAAGACTGAGCGAGTTGGGTACAAATACCTGAGGGGAAGATGTAGGGAGGGTGGGGCCAGACTCTTCTCAGTGGTGGCCAGTGACAGGACAAGGGGTAATGGGCACACATTGAAACATTGAAACACACATTGAGGATGTTCCGTCTCCATATGAGGAAAAACTTTCCTGTGAGGGTGACAGAGCCCTGGCACCGGCTGCCCAGCGAGGCTGTGGCGTCTCCTTCTCTGGAGATCTTCAAACCCATCTGGGTGCCACCCTGTGCCACGTGCTCTGGATTTCCCTGCTGGAGCAGGGGGTTGGTCTGGATGATTCCTAGAGGTCCCTTCCAACCTCAGCCATTCTGGGATTCTGTGACTTGAGCCAAATTGACTGTGACTTTCATTTAATTTCCACTCCAAAGTCTCCATAGACTACAAAGGCTCCAGCAAGAATACTTCAATAAATAAAACCCCATTATGTCACAAAGAGTCAGGTGCTATGTTTACAGTGTGCTAAAAGGCTATTTGTATTTCCTGTAGTTTGAAAGATGGCAGCGCAGCAGAGGGGACGGCTCCCGTGTGAGCTGTGGAGCGGGCAGGCATGCTGCATGCATCCAGGGAGACGTGCGCTGTGCCAGGACCCACCGAAAGCCGTAGCAGTGTGGGAGTGATCCTGTTTTCCAAGAACTGGCAGCTTGCCTGGTTTATCCAGGGTCTGGGCAAATCCACAAGCGCCACAGTGACGTGCAATATGAAGCAGGGGATGTGCCGTCCTCTGGTCATCTGCAGAGCTTCATAAACACTTTTTAGGGCTTTTTTTTTTTTTTTTTTTTAAGTCTTCATCAACAAGAAATGTCTGTGAATCACCTGCTTTCAAGGCATGAAGTCGGCACTAAGGGTTTGGTGCCAGGCCAAAACATAAGTGCCTTGAACACAGGGCTTTGGCAGCTGCATTTCAGCTGCTAGAAACACTCGTTTCGACCTGTCTCTGTTGGCTGCATGCGGAGCACCCTATGCAGAGCGCGTGGGGGCCGGGCTTTTCACGTGGACCAGGAGCTTGTCCCAGGCTGGCCCTGGGACAGGGTTTGCACAGGAGCAGAAGGGCTCGTAGCTCCGAGGGTGTCCGCGGTGCTGCCAGGGCCACTTCCCAACACGCTGCTCCCTGGTGCTGCACGCATCCCCCCTGCCGAGTGCCCAGGGCAAAACTGTAAGGAGTTTTGGCATCACCTGTGTTTATGTAGTGGGTTTCTAGCACCCCGCTGCCAGAAAAATGATTTTGACCAGATTTTAAGATCAGTTTTCCTGAGGGGACCAGACTTCACAGGTGTTTTGGGTCAAACTTCCCAAAACTCACTTTGTTTTGCAAAGGATGTGTCAGCAGTCCCCTCCACAGTCCCCAGCTGTGGTCAAAGCCACTAATGTAGCTCAAGGCTACTGCATGGCAGCAGCAGCGAGCGAAACTGTGCTGCGCTTTGGCTGCAGAAAAACTGCCAACACCATCTCCCCCCTCCT